AGCCCGCAGATGACATTTCACATCCGACTATTGCCCGGTGGCTCAGACAGCTTGTGTGCCACTCACTTCGCATTCCGAGAGATCTACAAACCAGCACAACCGATGCTGAACAGGACTTTGCAAGGGGAACAGCTAGAGATGAAGGACATTCAACAGCACATACAGAACTCCCTAGAAACAAACTATATGTGGCACACAGCTACTCAAGCATCCCCAACTTCTCTTCTCCTCAGACCCAAAGCTGCCAGGATGAGGGACAGATAAACACCACATGAAAGATTTTTAGCCGGTCTCTTTGAGAAGTGACATTAACTCTGAGCACTTGTATAATTCGTTTGGTCATAAACATATAAAAATACTGTAGAAAAGTGAGGTAATGAGGCCACAGGACTAACATTATCCTTACTAGACACCTTCCTATGGCAATATTGCTCTGTTGACATGGCAATGTGTCTATGAACGTTGAGATGCCGTGTCAGAGTCACCGCTAGCCTGCCCAGGTTGGGCTGAACATCATGAGATACAGAAAGCAAACACCTCTGTAGGGAGTTACATGCTGAATGACCTTCTGCCCCTGGCCTGCTGAGAGATTTAAAAATGAACCATGTCTATTTCCTTCACATGTAATCTTCCAAGAAAAATAAACAAGGAAAAGCCCATTTAAATCCAAATCTGCCACCTCCTAAGCATTTAATTTTAACTTTATCATAATCATATGAAATACATATCAAAATACTAAGAGTTTTGAGTATTGTGAGGGTTTTGTTTCCCACCTAAATATCCTGCATATTCCCCAGTTATTAGCAAAGTAGCCATCTTTGCTTGAAGAGGACTGGACAAACTTCTGCCAGATTTGATAATCTCACTTTAGATTAGAAAGCATGCTATCGAGTAAGAAGAGACACCTCCTCCAAGATGGCAGTGTTGTCTCTGCACCCTCAGACACATCTGGCAATGCAGACTGCACAAACAGAGCACATCCCACAGACAGCTGCTTTAGTTTCTCACACACAAGTTTAATGCAGTTGCAACAGATCTCGCTTTAAACAGGTATCAAAGGTTTTGTAACTGCAATCAAAATAAAAACCCCAACACCAGAAGGAATACGAGATTATAGCCAAGCAAAGAAACAACAGGCTTTTACATGACATAGTTCAAGGACATCCATTTTTCATGCAACACGTATTTAGAAGCACCAAGTGAAAAGTTAGAAGACCTAACTAAACACAAATACTTGCTTTGAACACATTGCAGCCCCAGCACACAAAAAAACCCACCTATTCATCCTTTCTGCAAGGATAGTATTAGTGAAAATAATTTTGACTGGTCAATCCTCAACAAGAATGTTACTTGTCCCAGGAAAGAGTGCTCTGCAAGGCTAGAGTATATAAGATAGATGTTATATTATATGTTGCAGTCAGTGCACATGTTTAGGCTCACCTTGGTTAGCATTTGCACCCTGAGGCAAAGCATTGGTTAAATTGGGCAGCTCGTTTCCATGGTTTCCATCTTCCCAGGGACAAACATCCACACTGTTCCATTTTTTCAGCTGTTTTAGCCAACTGGCCTTCTGCTCCAACTTGCAGTGGGGATTTAAGACTATACACATCCACAGAGCACCTGATTTTAAAAAAATTGCTAAATTATGTTTTCTATTAAAAATGCAGCAGCCAATGACTAATTGCAAACTTCTATACTGTAACACTTTTTCTCCCCTCAAAGTCTACACCGCTTGCTTCCCAGCTATGCCTAACACCAGGCAGATTGAATTCATGATGACGCATCTCAGAGCTGGTGTGGCCCATCTGAAGCAGTTGAAAGACAGTATCAAGCTAACCTTCTCATTTAAAAGGCATTATGTGGTCTTTTGTGTCAGAAAATCCAGAGTTCACAGCGTATGGCTTGGACAGGAACATGAGTCAAAAGCAAACAAGAATTGACAAAGTTTTAGCAGGACATTACCCAGGTTTTTCTTTTAATTTTTGCACCAGAAGCAACTGTTGTTTTCTATGAATGAGAACTATCTATCCTCCAGCTTCACATTACAGGAATCAAGTAAGTGCATTAGTAAGACATGTATTTTGTAAACATACACTTTCACACTCAGAACCCTACTGCTGATCACATAACTCATTCCCTAACTCATTCCCAAACATATCTGGGTCTCAGAGATCCAGTAAATACTGGGTTTGTGCAGCCTAATAGGAATGAGGTATTTTTACTGCAATTACCTCAGTAATTTGGTTACATCAGAAAATTTGTTTTACATTTTCTGTTTACAGACCTCAAAGGGAAAGCTAATTTGCACTGACATTTCACATATGCCGTCACTTTGGAACCTGCTTCCCTGAGACTATATAGCAGGGCAGGCATAAATACATCAGGGTCTTTAGCAACAATTCCCAAATGGATTGTTCTCTAAATCAGCTGTCTCTTCATCAGCGTGAACTTTTGACAGAAGCGTGAAGACACCTGAAAGTACTGTTTAACAGCAGTTCATTTGCTCATTAAGAATGTGCCTTATACACTACAAGAGACTTGGAGGATATGCTTGAACTATGCAATCTTTATGACAGGCTGAAAGAAAAGAAAAATGCACCTGGTTCTGCTAGGATAATAGAATTCTCACATTCAAGTACACTTTTGCTAACTAAGAATGCAAAATGGATACACAGAGCACAGGCCACCACATTACAGTCATTCCTAAGTAACTCAGTATGTTGATATGCCACAGCACAGGAGCCAGTGGAAACACAGCTTGATCCTTAAGGTTGCAAGTCCCCTGCCGCTGAAACCAACATGGAATGGGGAAGTAGTATCAAAGAAATCTGAAAACTATACCAAAATATGATATGGTACAGTGTAGAACATGAGACATAACACTACTGCAGATTATTACTGCACTATAGTCAAATACAGTTCAGTGCAAATGTTGGGTTTTTTTTGGTTTTGTTTGGGATTTTGTCTTTTTAAAATGTCCAAGACTTGCCATGGGAGTGAATAAGGTGAATAGTATTTAAAAAAAAAAAACAAACACAAACCAAAAAACTTTTTAAAATCAAATCATATGACTTTCTTTGGACACACTCATCAACACATTCTGCTTTCCAAGCAGAGTCAAATCACAACAGGCTCTTATTATTAAGCATCAATGTGTTCAGCACTGCTCAAGACAGAACGACTACATTTCTTGCAGTCTGCAAAGTACAACAGAAGATGGGGCATATTGGAGAGCCTTGGTGAACAGTTAATTTGGGCTTGCTTATTTTCAAAATCAAGTATCACTTGAGGACACTAAGGAGACACTATCTCTCAGCATTCAATTAAAAAAATCCCAAAAATTCCATAGTTTGTGACCAGATTCCCAGCATTTTCAGACTGAAGTGAAAGCAAAGTGGGATACCTTGGCTGCATTTGGTATTTCAATCACACAGCAAGGCAGAACACATACTACTGATTACACCATGCCCTACAAAATGAGTGGCCTTTTCTTTTTCCATGTCTCACACACCACTACAAAAGCCCCACTGAGTGCAGTACACCCAAGAGGCTGAGAACGAAGAGATACCCCATAGTACCAAAAGCCTTTAAAAAACTTCTTCGGTTTAAAGAGGGAAACTACGTCAAGCATAACTGCATTGTTAGCAGCGATTGTGTCAGAAACCCAGGCTATTTTTATGCAAATGATGCACAAGGACAAGTGTATTTCTAATAAACCCCACACAATTCAATAGAGCCCAACTGCAACTTTCTTTCGGCGACTTTGGGGCAAACCACATGCCCATCTGAAACCTGGCCCAGCTTTCCTGGCTCCCCGGTTCCCTGCAGGAGCAGGAGTGTGAGACAAAACTCCCCCTCGAGAAGGGAAGGGAACAGAAAGAGCCTGGGGCTCAGCTCCTGTAGCGCTACAAAGGCTACCATCTGGGAAAAGAGTGCAAAATGCCAGTGAACCTACACTCTTCACCTGCTTGGGCTTCTAGGGGTTTTTTTAATTATTATTTTTTATTTTCCCCTTTTTTCTTTTCCCCTAGCATGTGTGCTTTTGCCTGTATTCGTATTTCATCCTCCTCCTGGCTCCCTCCACGCCCTCCCCCTCCTCTGACATCTGCTCCATTCTGGATCTTTCAATTCACCGGTTCCTGTCCTGCTTCTAGCACTGCAACGTCTGAGGAAAGTGTTCACTTGTGCCCAGATTTTCACCACATGCCAACTGGAAGGAGCCTGGAGGATATTCTTCCTATTTCGCTCTGATGCTGCTCAGTGGAAGCCCTCCTGATCTGGCCCAAAAACACCACCACAACCTGAGGGCTTACGCTGGCCTCAGACAAGAGATACCCTATTTTCTGCCTAATGGCTCCCATACAGAGAAACTGCTGATCCTGCTTACTCCGTAACATAGATAAGGCTTACAGAAAATGGAGAGTTTGTAATTGTAAAATCATAAAAAAAATTGTAAATTGTAAAAACCTGTAATTTGTGGGGAAGGTATGTATACCTATTTCCAGTAATTTCAGCCTGGAAACTGCCATTGACAACACTCTATACACAAAAGAAGTTTCCCAAAATACTTTCCTGGCACTCTCAAGTTTGACTAGATTTAATGATGCCACCAATGCCACCTACAATATGAACAAACATCCAATTAAATAAGGGGAAAAACCTAGCCCAATCACACAATACCAACAACGTATCAGTGTTTACATCCTGTTTTTCTCCCTAACAGCTCTCTGTCTTCTTCCCAGGCACCAGGCATCTTCTTATACTGGGTCTCAGCAGGCTGACACATGTTCCCCCTAGAACTGCATGTAACTAAACCAAAAGTAAAGTTCTGGTTTGGACCCCTTGACTGTGACCTATACCTTTCCAACGCAAAACTCCTCACACCACAGTGTCAAAATTATCACAACCCAATATACAATATTTCCCCCCCCCAGAAGATAATTGGAAAATAAGTCATGCTGTGACTGCAATTTGGTATTAATTTCTCCAGGGAATGAGTATTAGAACTGTCATACTGTAGTGAGGGATTGCCTGTTTTGGTTCAAATCCAATCCTCTTGACCTGGAAAAAGCCAGCTTTGCCAAAACAGACCTTTAGTTCACACAGCTCTCCTTCTGAAAACACACAGTTGTCATTCATCTTTAGGGTGCCTCACACCACAAAAACACATACGTCATATTACTGCTTTACAAAATACATGTCCCCCTGTATGTACAAGGAAGGTATCAGTAGTTTCGTTTTTCTCAAGACAGCCACGCCTTTGAATTCATGGGGGAGAAAGGGACGGCATGCCTTTACACTGATTAGGAATTAAATATGCAAATTGAACAACATTAAGAAGTATTCAGTCACTGTAAAAATAAATGTTGTAATAATTAAACATCCTGTGTACGCATGTATTCATGAAGCCAAAGGAAATGCAAGGAATATATACACAGACTCTCCTGAGAGACGAAGCAGTACTTAGTTTTCCTAAATCCCGTTATGTTTTACTTTTTCCCCAGCAAATGGGAAGATGGTGATGGCAACAGTGTAGTGGGGGGCTAGGACACTGACCATAATTGAAGATCCAACGTACAGTTCTCTTTGACTACAGTCTTCCCAAGAAATCTGCTTTTCCTAGAAACATTGTTACCTTGTCAGGGCTGCTGTGCATCTAAGCTTGGGTCAGCATTTGCTCATTTACAATACCTGTGTAATCAATGGCTAAGGCTTGGCCTTTACTTTGGGATTTTACATTTAAGATCAACCCATTCTTTCGCCGAATTAAAATACGCAAGAAACAAATGCTTATCTACCATATTTCTTTGCTCTTCCCATTAATGCACATCTCTCTCAGAAAACAAAAACCCGTAAGCTACCAGGTTAGTAGCATTTGACCATTTCAAAGGATATAAAACCAGGTAGTCAAGATCATTCCCTTTGTGCAACAGACAAATCAGCTTCAGCACTTGCTGCACACTTGCCACTGTGCCCTATTTGAGCCTAATCAATTCTGTCACAAGAGCATCGTTTTCCAGCAGTGGAAGTGCCAGAATAGAAACAATACTAGCAAACAGAACCCATGACCCCTTTAAAGTAGAAGTGTCAGCAAAGGATTTTTAAAGTGCTTTTGATCTGGCCTTTAAGCACATACACACTTTGAGTGGGACAGCCACTTGGAAACCTCAAAGGTAGTAGTGTATGGTATTTGTTGCTTCTCAACAAAAAGGACAAGTACCTTCAGAATGGCTGGCAAAGCCACCTCCCTCCTCCAGACACAGAGATCTCCATTAGAAAAAAGCATAATCCCACTGCAGAATGCTCAAATTAAACAGTTGCTTTTATGGAATTGTAAAGATAGGCAAGGCACTTCAGTGCTGTTCTCTGCTTGATAGGAACCCCAAGGAAAAGCACTCTCATCATTCAGTTGGATCTAAGTTGCAATTTTATTCATAAAAACAATTCCTGAACGCATTCTGGTTTCTACATGCCTTCCAAATTAAAAAAAAAAAAAAAGGGTTTCTATGGGTGCTGGGTTTCTTTGAGAACAGAATGTTTCATTTTGCTCTAATTCATTCTGTTACTGAATTAAACTTTGATGTATTGGTCTTGACAAGTGCTTCATGCTGATTGTATTG